TTTTGCGGGGCCCCCCCCCCCCCCCCCATTAGAGACATTAATGAATTTAAAATTGTGCTAATTAGGAGCTTGACTAATTAGGCTCCTATTTCTTCCTTGTTTAATTACAGATTACACGAAAAAAACAATGCTTGCCTATTACAGACCATAGAAACTAGTCTCTGCCATTGTTAAATATACGAGCTAACAATTAATATTCCATTACAGACATAAGCAAATAGGGAAGGAATGACTTAATCATGAGTTTTGGATGTCAAGGCAGATTTTTCAGGTGAACCATTTTGAATTATTTTAGTAAGCTTAAGGGATATATGTGAGTTCCACATTTTAGTCCCAAAGAAACTGCGTTAACAAGCTTTTTTGACAGGGATTATCCTTGAACAGTAGAAAATAATAATTATTCTCAACGATCTGATAGAAGAAGGAAAAAAAGAAAAATATCACATTATCTTCTTTCTTCCTTTTATATAAGTATCAACATTATTTATCGCTTGATTTACTAGTTGTGTATGTCTGCATACATGCATACATACATACAATAGATCGCAGCTAAATTTAACTTGACTGTGCATACAAAGTATTGCTAATTTTAACTTGTTTGCGTAAAAAAATATGTTCTATTGAATAAACGATTTCATCAAGCATGTAAAATGTTTACAGCATAGTTAATCAATCGATGGCGATATTTATCCAACATAGAATACCATTCATTAGTATTCAAAGTCGAATGCATATGTAACAGTTAAGTTGGGTTTGGTGGAAAAGATAGAAAAGGTAAATGTAGAAAATTGAGTTTTTTGATAATTTTAAAGAAAAAGAAAAATTCATTTTCTAAATTGATGTGCACAGATCAGGGTTGGCACCTCTTCCGCTTTTTGCGGAAAGTTTCCGCTTTTTTGCTCTTTTTCCGCTTTTTTTCCCGCTCTTCCGTTTTTTTTCCGCTTTTTCATATAAAAGACTTTCGTTGTTTAATCGAAAACTTAACCATGCAAGAAACTAGATAACGCGATGTTAGACGAAAATTTCTTGGAAAATAATTTTCTAACGTGTAATTCTATACAATTCTTGAAAAATTTTCGCTTCACATGATAGATTTTCCAATAAATTTTTCTAGTAAAACACATTTCGTGTTCATTTTGGCCTCCACTATGAAATACATTCACCTGGATTTGAAATGCCAGTGAAGAAAAGAAAATTTCTTTCAAGTTCTTATTCATTTGTTAATATAATAGATGAAAGCATAGCCACATTCGACAGCTGAATGTAAAGAACAACATTATCCTCTTAGACTTGTAAAAAGCGAGCTTTATTTTTTGGATTGTACGTTTTTCGGGCCAATGTTTTAATTTGTACCAAAAAGGAGTCGCATTCGGCGGCTATATGTGGAAAGGAATACATATTTTGTGTTCTATTACTCTGAAAAATGAGTTTCAGTTTTTTCGATTGCATCTTTTCGCATAAACTTTTAAAGTGCGGTGCCAAAAAAGAGTCGCCTTCGGTGGTATATTCTCTGCGAAAAATAGTGAACTAACAGTCGCAATACGGCCATTTCACTATCACAAAACGAACATTTTTTGGGACGATACAAACATTTTCCCTGTATGGCACTTTTAGAAAAGATGAGTAGAAAAAGAATTGACAGAAAAAATATATTTATTTTTGGACCGGAAATTGTTTATCTTTTCTTCTTGGAGTTTCAGGCCAGGTACGCCCTGATATTTTTTATGAGTTGTCTATTATGTTGTGGAACTGCGAACAAAGTAGTACTATGAGCAATAAAACAAGGTTACTTAAACTCTTGGAAATGTGAAAGGTCAGCAAAAAGCAGCTTTCCGTTTTTTCTATTTTTGTTTCCGCTATTTTCCGTTATTTCCCGCTCTTTTTGATCAAACTGTCCGCTTTTCTGACCTGATGAGGTGGCAACCCTGGCACAGATACATCGTATCTATGTTCAATACAAGCCCAATAGTTTTTTTTATGAGGACGTTTTATTGCATGTGAACATATATTGGTTAAACACTAGTAATGGTTTACCTTTATTAGTCGTTAAGAATGATATTTTACTGTCCATTGCCAACGATTGAAGAGAGAATTATTTGTTAGTTGTCTTTGCCAGGCTGATTTATATATATGGTACACGCTAACAATGAACAAGTATAGACTATAGACGAGGAGGACGAATTTAACTTCTCTCACTTTTCTTCGACACTTTTATTAATTATACTTTTTCATTTCGACATTTTCCATTCGACGTTTTCACCTGCTGCAATTACCAGTTTCAGCATTTTCTTTTATGCCTTTTCCGCCAATTCGGTTAAGTTTAGTTATATTTGTGTAAAAGAAGTCCTTATCAAGGTTTCAGACGGATTAGTATTACAATTATGTAGCTAAATTGAGGTATTAATCCAATGAAATTATCATAGAAAAATAAAGTATGGAGAAAAACAATCTTCCTTTTTTTTTCTTCGATATTCTAAAATCAAGATTGCAGTCTAGTGTATAGTTATTAATTACATCGATCGGTAGATAGGATACAGATAGTAGTTGTCTTCGATTATCTATGACATAAGTATCCTGCAGTTTTAGCAAAAAATAATGAAGTGTATCTATAATTAAACATGCAAGAAGGTCTCATTAAAGCGTAACACAATTTTGCAGAATTGTTATGTCGAAGGAAATAAACTATTTATTTAAAATAATCACATACATGAGAATTATGGCATTTTTTTTTAAGTACCTTAACGTTAATAAATTCTCTATTTGATAGGTAAGATAATAAAATAAATATGATGAATATCATCATCATTGTTTGTCATCTTTTTATTTTCTTCCGAAAAAAAAATCATCATGACGCAGGTAGGCGATGGATTATGTAAAAAATAAGGACGAATTCAAATAGAATAACAAACAAAGACTAAAAGCAAGTAAATATTATTTTACATGCAATTATAGGTAAGTCTAAAGACCTAGCAATTATCTGGATATATTTACGAGCCTGATACAGACAGTGTTTTGTATCAACCATATCCCTCGTTTCGTTTTGAAATGTTCCATTTCAATGATATGTGAGAAATTCAGTTGTCTTCTGCTTATTGTTTTCAGCAATAAAGAATTAACATCGATTTAATCTGAAATTTTTATTAATTCCCAGGTGAATGAATCCGTTACCGAATGCGATCGGATCTTATAAAATCCGACGAGCTGACAAAGTCCCATGGGGTTCCGGGTTGAGGAACTACTAACGGACCCCTAGTGTTGGAATCCGGTGAACATTCGATCAAATCTAACAACCGAATTCGATAGGAAATTCAGGAGTTCGATTCCGGCACGAGGGATCCGTGAATGGGTCCGCAACCCGTATTTACTTAGAGTCTTGTAGGAACCGATCGAATCCGGTTAGATCCAGCTGTCGGAATGTTTGCCCTGGATTCTTATGCTCAATCAACACTACTTCGTTTGTTATTAGCAATAAGTGAATATTTTCTGTTTTTCTTATTTTTCACACCTTGTTACAGTTACGTTCTTGCTGCTATTCCAGAAAAATATAACAAAGAGAAAAAATATCGTTTTTATTCTTGAATTTTTATTATCTAGCAACTTGTGTTTATCGACATTGATACTCTAATTGTTGATTCTATTCGTTAATGCAAGAGAACCGTTTTTAAATCGAATGATGTGCGTAAGTGTCAATGTTAGCATCGACAGGATACTAAATCTTTACAATTATTTTTTACCCTTGCTTTGTTTTCAGCTATAAGTCAATACCATTCCGATATGAATCCGATGATTTCCGACACTAAAATCCGACAGTCGGAAACTATGGGAAAGCCAAGGATCCGACAATTTTTTTTATAGCTGTAACCCATCTTAGTCTTATAGAATCACTATCACGTTTGTAAGACTTGAATACTTCATTTCCTATAGTCCAAATTAGTACAATGTTCAAACTTTTATTCTCTTCTCTTTTATTTCTATTGAGAATATACTCAAATTTAGGTGTTTCACTACAAAAAAACGAGTAAAGACATATGTACAATAGTAAAACAATAAAAGATATAAAATAGCATTTTTTTCACAAAACTAGAATGAGCAAAAAATCAATGTAGCTAAAACATTATAGAAGAATCTATGAGACGAAATTTTTGACTGGAGAACAGAAAAAGATAGTTCGATAAATTTGTTTCTTTTATTCTAAAATGAACACAAACATAGTGAATGAACTTATATGACGAAATTCTTGACTGGACGACAGAGAAAAGAGTTCGATAATTTTTTAAAATTTTACCAAGCCCCAACATTTGACATCAACCAACTACTCTCTCTAAAAAGAAGGATTTGTACCGAACTTTTCCGTATAAAATTTAGAACCATTTTTAAGTTCTGCCAAAGATACCCAGAACTAGAAATGGTTTTGTACAGAATTGCGGAACCCTAAATGGCTCAGTAATCAGACCCTTCTTTTTAGAGAGTAGTCTAATCCAGTCTAGTCCTGGGTGTTTTCATTTAATTGAACTGTAATATTATCTTCCTATGTCACCAATCGGATCATTTATCGATTGGTGTCTCACGATTAGGTGAATTAGGAGCAATCAAATATGATTGACACTTACTTGATTCGAGAGCACTACTACAAGGAAAACGTGTCAAAATCGAATCCCTTGCATATTGTCGGAAATCAACGGATATGATGGGATTCCGACCATAGGATCCAACCGGAGACTAATCGGATCCTATGGTCGGAAATCAACGGATATGGCGGAATTCCGACCATAGGATCCAACCGGAGACCGATCGTCGGATTAGTCATGGTTCCGATAAGATCCTACCAGGTATTTTTGATCTGGGAATTTCTGTGTTTTTTATCTTATAAAAACAATGAAGCTCAAATATTATTCTACTTATAGGTCATTAAAAGTGTGTTGTTCGTAAATAGATCTTGAAGTCATTTTTCTCGATCTATACCGATAGATACATAGAATGTAATCGCGTATTGCAATAAGCATTATCTTCTAGATACTAAAATCGAATATTCATTTCTTATAAATAATATTCTAGAGTAAAACTAGAACTTTAATTCTTAGCTGTGATATTTAATTATTCTATGATCAGTAAAAAATTAAATTACACAAGGTTTTCCTGTATATTATAGTTGGATAAAGTTCAGGCAGCAAATAAAACTTAAGTACAATTGTTCTGAAATGTTTTCTTTTTATAGTAAGTTCTTCATTCTTTGAGATGATTTATGCTTTTTCCGATAGGCTAGTCAATATTTATAACTGAAAAATTTTCAATTCACTCATTTCTTTTCAATTTTGTAACATGTTTGCTGTCAAAACTTGCCAAGAAGCCTTGAATCAATGTTTTATAGCATATCTAAGGCAAGCACTGTGTTGCATTGAAAGGGAATGAAAACATCCATAGTCCAGATAATCTTGTCACATTCTATATAATTATATATGATGTATACACAGGGCGGCCAACTGTACCATAGTTTGGTTTTAGTTTTAGTTTAAATTTTTCTTTTCTCCATTTATATTCGAACTCGAATTAGACAGATACTCCTATTTCAGGAGGCAGACAATGTACCCCATTTGAAAAATAAGCAATGGAAGCCCTGTGTATGCATAAAAGAAAAAGATACTACTACTTTAATTTTATACCATATAATGCAAAAATACTTTTATTTTGTTAGCACCTCATCAAACATGACTTCAAGCAATAGATATGCAGTCTGAAATTAGAAAACTGCAATAAAAATATTAATACTATAGTATGAAGTATGGCTAAAAAACAATAGTTTCGAATAGAGCAATAATTTACAAGTAACACTTTGCCGCTTTTTTCTTACTGCCGTTGAAAACATGGCGACCAATTTTTGTTAATTATCATTGAAAATCGAGTTATTATGAATAGTTTGAATGAGAACGTCACACGGCTATTGTTCTTGAAAAGTTTATTCATGATAAGACCATGTGATGAAGAAATTAGTTTTTTTTTATATTAAAATTGCCTAATGTTAATAGTACGTTCTTTTCTCTTGGCTGCAGCGGTCATTCTAGTTTTTTTTTTCGTTTTACCAAAACATGTTTTTGTAGTTGGTCTATTGAAATTCAATTACAGTTATTCTTAATATAATAAAATATCCTTGCCCGCCATCAATCTAAATATTGAGGGTGTCTACTTTTTTTTATCAACACCTATGCTTTTTTCTCCCTGTTTTAGACATTGTAATTAATTGATGATCAAGTCTGGAGAATGATTTGCTATGGGCAAAGTACAATAATAATAGTAATAGTAATAAGAAGAAAAAATGATACGTCTAGATTATGCAGGGTACAACACGAGAAGAGAAAACACTGAATTGAGTAACAGAAAGAAATGAGACGAAACGAATTAACGACCATTGTATGCATTACTTATATAATTTTTAGCTAGTGTTTGAAACAACTGAAGCGTTGCCTACGTGGTGACAGCTTCATAGTTCTTAATAGATGCATGCGTGGGTGAATTTTTCTTTGTTTATATTTTCTTTTCATTGACGGCGAGAAACGAAATTGTTTATTGTTCATAGCTTAGTTTGTTGCGCTTTGCAATTTTGATGCTTAGAATTTCGTCAACCTCAGCAAAGAATTCCCCAGATAAATAAATTCGATGGTCATGCACTAACTGATGCGTATTTGAAACCGCACATATTCATATTAGTCTCTCGATAAAACTTGGAAAAAAAATTCTCATACAACCACATTGTGTACCTACTGACTCAACAATTGATTAAGAAGATGCCCATAAATATTTATAATTGCTACCCAATTAGGCAGATGAGATTGCTGTAGTCGAATGCGTACTTTCCTCGGAATAATGCAGTTTCATAAAATTCGATATCTTCTCATTTGAAAATGAGTAGCTGAAATGTCGAGCAAAGAAAGAAGAAAGAAAACTGTCATTTTTCTACCCTCTTAATCCAATCATAACTAAGGGCATCTAGTATATTTTAACTATACATATATATTAAAACTACGATAGTGCCCATTTTTTCTTTTCTTGTTCAACCGAGCTAATTTTGATTTGTCGATAATAAACATGGAATGACACTTGATTCTTTTATTATTGTATCAACAGCTATTTTTATACATACGCATGCAAACCATACACCTCAGTGTCCCGGTAAATCCCGACGGGACATCCTGTGCAAATAAGTTTTCCGTTGGAATCCTGGCAAGTGCTGCGATATATGATGCAAACCAAGGGGGAAAAAGCGATTTATGAGTTTCATGATTTTTCTGAGTTTAGCTGATTTAAAATGAGTTTGAGAAAACGAAAAATTTGCTAAACTAACTAAAAACTATTCTAAATCATAAATTATTACTGAAAATCATTCAAAGGCACCAAAACTCACGCAAACTCATTCCAATACAGTTAATTTATATTGATTGTAAGTTGAGTTTTACTGTGATTTGAATCAGCTTTTTCCCCTTTGATGCAAACTCTGCATAATAGGTATGAGGTGGAAGTGGAAGTGGAAGTGGAAGTTTAGAATCTCATCATAAGAAACGGATCTTCTTGTTTTGTTTCTCTTTGATGTCAATCAATTATGGCATGCGAGGAAAAGATGTGCTCTTTGCAATACTACTTCTCTATTTTTTTTTATTCCGAAAAGGTTAGCTTTCATTCTGTTGTCGTCATTGGTGTAAATATCATACCATGTTTCTTCATGGAACAACACAGAGAAAGAGAGACAATAGTAAGAATATCCTATTACGAAATAAATTATATGTATCAAGAGAACACTTATTTTCTAATATGGTATGTTCGATGAATCTTCCCTATTTCTTCTGATCGAGTATCTTGCCAATATTTAACGGAAAAAACAAACATTAATAATCCAAGTACTTTACTTGAGAAAAGAAAACGAACAAGAGGAAAAATAAATCGACACATATAGAAAAAAGATTACATTTTATGTGTTTATTTCTTCTTTTCGCATGCTCAGGGTAATCATTCCGTCAGAACGAGCATCTTAAAAGATCTGAGACGGCTATAAAACGGCTACCACTTTTAACACGATATTTTTCGTTTTCTGAGCTGGCGGAAAACGGTGCCGTTTTTCAACGTTTTATACCGTTTTTACGCCGTCTACAGCATTTTACGCACCATTTTCTTGGACATGGGCAGTTATACATTGCCTATATATATAACATGCGTATAATTTATTTGTTTACCAACGTCTACCCATCGAGAAAAAGAAATAAATAAACAATGTGAAGGTATGTTTATCATAGATCATAGGAACAATAAAATGCTTGAGAAAATTTGACTAATTCAATCGTAAATAGAAAATTAAAGATAATAAAACCGATTCTGTTCTTGCCCTTTTTTATTTTTTGTTTGTAAAATGAATGACGATTAAGAAAAAGCTGCTGTCAGCGTGATGACATTTGTTACTATGACAGTCAATTGCAGGATTGTTTACTATTATTAATCCTATTATAGTTGATGTTTCTTTCGTCATCATCATCATCTCGCAGGATCACCACTACTTGCAACTGTCAGTCTATTTTAGCAGTTATACAAAATATATTCCATATCTTATCTATATCATGTCATAAAGAGACAGAAATGACGTCATTATTAGTAAATATATATTGTCTATTTCTAGAAAACAAAATAGCGCTATAACAATTTATTTATTATATCGATTAATACCCAGGTCAATGATTCCGGAGAGAGGATACTGCGGAGACCGGCAGGAAAATACGGAAAAAGCAGCATTCTGGCCGGAAATTTTCGGTTGTTTTCCGGTGATTTGTCAATCGGTTTCTGCCTGAAAGTACAGGAAATCGCTGGGAATTCACAGGAAAATTTTCGACCGGAATACTGCTTCCACGTTCCAGTGGTTTCCGGTGTTTGTCCTGCCGTTTCCCGTCGTACGAGTGCGACCTGGGTAATAATTATGTTATAATTAACATGTTCAAATATTTTTTATAGAATACAAAAATGACAAATTTTAATAGAAGCGATTTTTCCTTCTTTATCAATATTAAATCATCAAGTAAGTCTCTATATGATGATATTACGAATAGTAGTCAAGTTGCATCATTAGCGAATGGTAAAATTACAAATATTTCTGAACGATTACAGCTTGTCGAACGTTTAACTATTCATATAACGCTTATTGTTTCTATTATTGGTTTAATTGGTAACGGTTGTACAATTATTGTACTTAATAGACAATCTATGCGCAAATGGCGTTCATCAATATTATTATCATCATTAGCTGTAGCCGACTTTCTTTATTTATTAATTATATTCTTATCCATAATTGACGAATTAATAAATCAAATTATTGGTCTTAATCGATCGTTAACATTATGTCAAGTAACCGTGTATATAACACATGTTTGTTCATTTTTATCAGCTAATTTTACTTTATCATTTACATTACAACGTTGTGTTGCTGTTACTTTTCCATTACACGCTGATACAATAATATCAAATCGTTCATCAATAATAAATATATTAGTCTTATTATTATTTGGCTGCAGTTTTTATTCGTTTAGTTTTTTTCTAACAAATATCTCACATGGACAATGCCGAGAAGATGAAACTTATCCAGCTTTATTTCCATTACTAATTGTCGATACATGTTTAACATTTGTTGTACCGTTTATTTTTATTCTTATATTTAATGGTGCTATTCTTTATAAATTACAGCAACGAAAAAAATTCTCAAGTGTTTTTGGCAAGTTTTCTTTTTAAAATATTAATCAATTTTAATCAAGTGTAAAAAAACATACAGAAAAGTCGACAACTAGACATCTAATTATAAGAGACATTATGACATGCAGGTTATTACGAAGACAAATATTAAAATATAACTGTTGTGGTGTAATTTTTCTTTCGATATAGATTAAATTATACTTTTGACACAATTCAAAGAATTGAATTCTTATGAATAAATCCATGTCTGAGACGGTTTTATGTTATGACATAACACTTGCTATATGCGTTGTTTCTTTTTTTAATTATTCTATGATATCTTTAATTAAAAATGATACGAGTGACTCTTACTTCAAGATTCAACACATAATATCATATTAGAGTCAGTAGATATCGAATAGAAGACATATTTAGTTGCATTGTTGTTGTTAGATAATTACAATATGATGAAAATTAAAAAAATAGGAAAATAAAAATAGTCTAGGTTCAATAGCCAAATATTTCATTTCACACACACAAGCTCGTGTCTTTTTGTTGCAAAAAAAAATTTAAAATTAACAAAGACAAATTTTTTCTCTCTCAACTTCTGATATTATATAATCGAGTTGTACTCTAAGACACCGAGTTAGTAATATCAGCCTTTGAGGATTTGATAGAACAGTTGTAGAAAGAATTTTGTTTTTAAATGTAAGATAACAACCGCTATTTATTAATTTCTTATCTATGAGTGTCTTTTATTTTGTGTTCAGACGGTTCATTAATAAGAACAAGCCATCGACGAACTCCTTCGCCGACAACTATACGTGGAGTCGACGGTCATGTTGCACAAGAACAATTACATTCACAGAAAATTATTACATTAGAAAATGGTAATAATCCATTAAATATACCAATATTATCAGCTCGTAAATTGTCAGCACAGTTTTCTGGCTCATCAACAAAACTCAATCGATATTCATCACGCTTTTTGAATCCGCGTTCATCAGTAACAACAATATTGAATGAATACGTTTCTACGCCATTAAATTTCAATAATCGACAAGCAATATCACAACGCACAACTAAAATGCTTGTTATATGTTCAACAACATTTCTTTTATTTAATTCTCCGTATTGTGCTGTTTTACTATATTCAATTATATCAAAAGTTGTTCTAACACGTACTCTTAGAATTTTAAGGCATTTTTATTTTATGTCGTTCTGTTTAAACTTTTTTCTATATTCGTTATGGGGAAATCGTTTTCGCGAGGAATTTATTTTACTTGTGAAAGGATGCTGTTCAGGAAATATTCATTTACCGTGTTCGAACGCTGATAAAATGGAAAACAAATCTAGATTCTGTCGTGTCAATACAACAACAGCTGTTTAATATATTTATTAGCGTTTTTTTACTCAAAGAAAAACATGCAAAATCAATGTATGCGCACCGATGTACGATTATATTTTTCTTCTCGTTTTTTCGTTTTGTTTTTGTATACACAATAAATATATATTCAACTTTTCTTTCTTCTAACTCATTGATAAAAGAAGAAAAGACGAATAGTTCAAGCGCCGTGTCAGTATGTGAGATAACGATAGATAGAATATTCATCATCGATATTTAATCTCGCAACGTGCACTCAGACAATCAAAAGAAAATGCCTACAAGTGTATATGTATGCCTTGTTTTGTTCTCACTGATACAAGGTCTGCTGATAAAAACAAACGATTTTTATGATAATTGTTGTATTTTTTATAGGAGATGTTATTGTTAATTCTATTGATGAACAATGTAAGTGTTTAGAATTATTCATAACTAATAATATGCATTTCTCGATTAGGTACTTTTTTATTAATTAAATATAAATACACATCGAAAGCTATTTTTCAATATGTACCCACCAATATAATCAATCAAACAGCATTGAATATAACTTCTGATGTGCACCTATATCAATCGAAACCACCGTATAATCAATCGTTTATCAAAGTACTGAATTCTTGTGCCATTTAAAAATAAATAAAATCTCAATTTTTTTCTCTATTTTAGTTGCAAAATTTAATTATAAATTCATTTCAACATGATAGTATTCACACAGATATAAAACAACTTGAAAGAGCTATTCTTCAATTATTTATTGAAACATCTGTGAATAAAAATTATGCAACCAATCAAAAATCTTATTTTATTTTATTTCCTTTTTAGAACATATTACAGAATTCAACACATGATGTTATCTACTTGAATGATTATTATAATAATTCTAATTTATATCGTCGAATAAAAACTGTCCGAACCAGTGATGGTCAATTTATTGGAAATTCAATTTTTGCTGTATGTTTTATATAGTCTACTTGTCGTTTAAAATTAAAATTCTTTTGTTTTCAAAATAGGATTATCTTTTCAATAAAATCGTTCCACCAACGCGAACATCATGTGAAACAATAATCAATGTCCATGAAAAATATCTTGAAAAAAGTGTTTGCTCATCGACAACTGCTAGTCTTTTAACTGTTCATAGAGAAATAAGTTTCGATAGCAGAATTGATAATATAAAATTTATTCATAACAACGAAAATTCAACTTCAGTTGAATTAAAAATTAAAACGAAGCATGATTTTGATCTATTATTGAAACATATTTGTATTAAACATGAATTCAATTCTCAATATCAATTAAGTCACATGATGAATAATGTTCTTCACGATGAAGATTTAAATGAAATTCTTTTCCTAAATTCAAATCAATATTCACATTGCGAATGGTTGGGAAATCTTTGTTTTTGTTTTTGTGAAAATCTAATTGATTATTTTTTTCTCTCTCTCTCTCTCTCGAAAGGACGATGATCAATCAAAGTATCGTTGATGTAAGTCGTTATCAAGCGACAGAATATATTTTTAAAAATTTCTATTCCGATGAATCAATAATTGAACATCATCTTGATTTAATTGAACGACAATCCAATGATCGAATAAAAGAAATTTTAAGAAAATATTTTAAAAATTCTTGTCAAATATTAAATATGATTACTCTTCGTATGTTACTACTAATTGCACAAGATGATCTAACAATAAAATGTGTACTAAATCAAAATAATACTTTAAAATATCGTACTATTGCGTTTCGTTCTGTTATGAATCCAGAAAAGTTTGAAAATGATGTTCGAACTCTATTAAACAATGAAGAAGAATCAAGTGAACTACGTATTATTTCGTTTCAAGCAATATCTTCATCTCTTAATACATCTGAAATAAATAATCTAATGGAAAATGTTAAATCAAATCAACTTCGTTTTTATTTAAAATCTTTATCGAAGCAAAGTTCACTGTGGTTAGGAAATTCTGGTTCATATGAATTTCCATTTGGAAAAATGAATATTATATTCAATGAACGTTCAACAATGTTTTTCCCATATATGATTCAATTAGAACTAGTAACTAATGGCAAGCTTGATATTTATTTTGTTCGAGATGATGAGAAGAATAAGGTAGGAGCTTACCTTTTTATTTTTTCTTTATCCTTTGCTACTTTATCTTTTAATGATAGAAATGGGAAATTTTATTAATATTTGATGGGAAGACTATGATCCGGTTTTCAACTATGAAGGATTTTTTTAAATGGCTGAATAATGATCGATTATTTGAAATGAAAACGCTCGATGAATTTTCATTGAAAATAGATCTAAAAATTGACTTCAATCTAAATTGGTTTATTGGTTATTTTAATCAACTCAATAATTTTTTCAAAAAGTAAGTATCGAAAATTTAATAATCGGTGCCAGTTGTTAGTATTATGGAAAAGATAAAGAATAAAAATATCCTTCGACATATAAGGCAATGACTAGTAGTACTGTCTCTGTGGAATTGAAATATGACATACGATGTAGTTCTTATTCGCATGGAGATCGTTTTATTCAAGCTATTTTGAGTAAAAGTTCATTATCGTTGTTTACCGTATCATCTAGAGCTTCAATGATCAACTCATTTTTGCTCCAATGATGTATGAGTATTCCATATGGTCTATGATTGTATCTCTATAAGGAATTTTTTTTCTATCTAAAATAGTCTCTGGAGATTGTCTGTCATCGTGAATGGGGAGAGGAGGAAAAATTTTTCCTGACATACTTCATGACCTCCCTTAGAGAGTATCTTACAAAGTTTTACCGCCAGAGGATTGTAAAAGCATTACTTGAAAATTTGCCCTGTACTACTTTAAAAAAAAGAACCAATCGCTTTTCTCAAGAAAATAAGAGTAATGAACATTGCAAGATTTTGGCACTTGAATTTTTTAAATTAATAAAAATTGAAAATCATATCCATAGTTTTATCTGATGTATTTTTTGCGTAGATCAAGTTCTGGTATTATTCTAACAGTTCAACATGGATTAGGTGAAATCAAAACCGGCTATAAAATGAATTTTAATCTTGAAACTAGTTTTAAAATTAATATTCATCATCATGAACAATTAACTTCTTATATTTGGCGTTCGATGCAAAAGGAAAATATTCTTTTTAAAATCGAGTATGAATATGATTTTCTTCTTGAATAAAACTTCTCCATCTATCTAATAAATAGACAAACAATACGTCCATTAGTATATCCCAAACAAATCGTACTAAAAAAGTCTTCTCCATCGTCATCGCCAATAAAAGATTTTTGCTATTTCATTCCGCATTTTGATTCAAAAATTTGTTTATCATTTATTTTTGAACGTCTATGGCCTTCATCCATTGCAGTAGGATTTGCATTCTTTTCTTTCATTGTTTTTGATATTATTCATGAAAATAGATTCGATTACTTTCCGATGATCCATCGCTTGTTTACAATTTAACTTCATCGAACGATTTTATTCATTTTAATATTCAACAAGATAAACAACATATTATTCGATCATATCGTCTTAGAAGAATGTATAATGAACATTCATGGATGCCTTATTATGTTGAACTTTCTACACCTACAACTAATTATACATCGTTTATAAATTGGAAAAATCAAAGTCTTATTTCGCTTGATGTATTAAATAATAATCAACTGATTGCCAATGGTTCAGGTTCATATCAATATGATTTATTAAGACAACTGTCGATTAATTTAACAGACACTTATCCGGAACATATTGGAAATATTTTCCTTACCTATGATGGAAATTTAACAATTAATGCCTTGAAATTATTAGGTGGAGAATTATTACTACGAATAGATCGTTTATCTAATTGGAGAAAAGCTCGTATTGCAATAGAAGCTGAGAGAGCTTTCTTTTTTTTTAAACAAAATTTTCTATTTAATTTATATTATGATATCGATCAATTATCGTTTAATTTAACATTGATAAGAAATGAAAATAATAAATTACAATGGGCATTTCTCAAAGGGAATTCGCATATTCAACATTTGTTTACCATCAATACACTATTGCTTGATTTCAATCATTATACTCAGGTAATTCAAATCGAAAGGAATAGTTTATGTAATGCCAGTAAACTCAACAGACAGACATTTGATATCGGGAAAAAACAATATTATCCTTGTTTTAAAGTAATATCTAAAAACATAACTTTTGAGCACCTATAAACTTCAGTTATATAAATAAATTTCATATGAAAAACTCTATAGGTCGAATATGAAAATTCTTCAAATCTTGGTTTTCAATCTTCATCCTCGATCAATGGTTGGTCCCTTTGGAATACTAGTTTTCTTATGAGAGATTACAAACAAATTCGAATTCAATTCAATCGCTTTTCATTGAACTCACATATTAATAATCGAAGCATAGAATTTGAAATAAATTCGTTCGATAAAAAACTTTTACGAACATCTTTTCACATGAATCAATCAAATATCATCAATGCTGCAGCGGAAATACCGGGCCATTACTATGAAAGCGAAGGAAAATTCATTGCTAATTATACGAATTTTTTCTTAGATTTTCCAATTATTGAAACAATACTTGAAAAAACGAAAAAAAGCTCTCATATTCATTTTGAACTTCTATCGTACGACACTCATTTTATATTAAATCTAACATCACATTTTCGTAACGAATATTCATTGAATTCTCTACAAAATTTTACATTCTACAATCAAACCCTGTATCAATCAAATGTTCAACTATCATTAGCAATGATAAAAATGATTTATTATCCATTATTTTCATTGAATTCACTCATTCAATATCTTCCAAATTCTCGAATAATTCACTTATGGAATGGATCTATTAGCCTACCATTATTGTTCGTTTCTAAACCATTGCTACTTCAATATGAAAGAGATTCGCAATTGTTTATACAACTTTTTGATTTCGCTAATTTAACACAAACATCAGCAAACTATTATATAACAACAAAATTAGGTCTTCAATTATCAATCATCAATGATTTATCAACAAAAGTTCATATTCATCTTGAACAAACTTTTATTGGTAAACGATATTTACTACTTTTCGAAATCGATCGTAATTGGTTTTTGTCATTAACGATAAATAAAGAGCTACGCTATGAATTTATTTCATCGCCGATTGATTCATTGTTTTTATTAAAACGAATTGATTTGAATACAAACGCAACTCAAATTTTACCGATAAATTATTATACCGATAATGAAACATTAATAAGAATTGAAATACTATTTACAAAAGTATTTTCAACATTTATCAATGATTTTATATTTGATATATCATTAAAAAATCATAGTTTTACAGTACTATGTCATATGCCATTATTTAAACGAGAATTTTTCTCTTTAATATGGAATCGATATTTAGAAAAAGAATTATTTCATTTTCACGGTTTGATACAATCGAAATTTTTACGACGAAGACGCTTTATTGATTATGAATACAATTGGAATTTAGCGTCGGTTCGTTTCTGGACATTTAATTCTTCTCTAACACTGTTTTCGTTTGATCCGATTGAATTTAATTTCAATATAACAAATGACTATCTATGGTATGGAAAATGGGCCATTGATTTTTATCTTATGTTAAATAATCGTCGGCAATTAATTCGATTCAATCATAAATATCATTATACAACATTGCGTTCGAATTTATTCTTTGATCTACATCTTATTAATTCACATTATGATTTAGATTTTAATTATTATCATTTGAATCATTCTATTCAAGGTGAATTCATTAGAAATAAGGAGAAATATCTAATAGACGGATACTGGAATATAACAGAAAATATTCTTCAATTGAATACAGAACATATGACGTCGATGTCAACGATTACATCGACGTTGATTAAATCAATTATTGATATAAATCATCAAAAAATAGGTGTTTTATTCGAACTGAGCACCAATGATTTTACTAAAGATACGCAAATTATTGAGGTAAAAATTAATTTTCAGTTCGAAACTAAAACTTTTCATATCAACTGATTTTCATTTGTAAAAATTCTAGTGTAATCCTTATGTATGGATTCAAATTTGTCCTCGATTGTTCGTTTTTCATTACTACGCATTAAATGATGGTCTATCAACAATGATGTTGGAATGGTCGACACCTTCTTATTTATCTTGGAATTACACGGGCCACGGAAGACGTATCATACCTATCACAAAATTCGAAATCGATATTCGTACAAAATACATACTTCATTTACATACAACAACTTACAAATTCTCTTCAATATATAATAATCAAAAACGTCAATTAACCATTCGTCGAGAACCCGTCGCCGAGGATGCCGATGATCGTCATGTATTCAAAATGAAATATCATCGTAATCAGACGTTTTTAATTCATCTTCAAGTAATAAATAATCACTATGAAATTATCGGTACTCCTTACAATGAAAATTTCCATTGGAAACTTCATGGATATTTTCAACGCAATCCATTTAATGGTTCATTATCGATTGCTAATACTGATTGGTGGTTATCATCAAACTTGAATTTTAATTCATCATTATATATTTCTACAGGACGATACGTTCAATTGATACCAACATCGGATCCTCAAATAGCTTTTGAACTTCTATTAAAACATCGTTTTCATTTTGCTTTTCAATATTCTGGTTTACATTTCATAAAAGCTTTTAAACTTTTTCATAATTCTTCAAATACAGATATATATTTTTCATCACAACCAATCAACAAAACAATCTATGATATTGATTTTAAATTAAATAATTTAATTAATCAAAGTTGGCTACTTGAATTAAATAATAATCGATTCTTCTTGTATAACGATAATAATGAATTTATATTTAATGGTAGCTTGAAAGACTTTTCTTTTGATCATTCCATTAGAAATAAAAGTAGTAGATTCTTTATCAACGAAGATACAATCGGCTATCAAACGAATGATTTCGGTATTATTATTTCGAATCTTTCAACAGAATCAAACAAATATGTACATTTATACAATCGAAAAACCGAAGAAAATTTAACAATTAATTATTATAAATTAGGAAGATTCTATCGGGACAATTCGAATATTCAAACACCGATTTACGACATAAATATGATCTATCAATCAACTGCTAATGAAAATCGTTCAATACAAATTTTCTTCGAACTTTTACCATTGCAAATGTCGTCGTTTAGTTTTGTTCGTGGTCGAACATTTCGAATTGGTTATCAAACAAAACAAAAACAATTAATCTTATCAGGAAATATTGCGTTTACGGTTGAAGATATTCATGAAAAAAAATTCATAATAATACTTATGAATGAACGTTGGAAACTAATTTATGGTCTAGAAAAACGAGATCGGCTCTATATCAAATGGAATTTAAAATTCGATGTAAATAAGAAAACGATTCAAGGTCGAATGAGTATTCAAGATCCAAATGATGACATGTCCATACCTGTTTACAGTGATATTAATGGATATGTAAAAGATACGATGATGGTAACTTCGATGCATACAATTTATTCCTCAGCAGAAAATTCGCCAAAAACAATTAGTCTTGAGATAAGTATTAATCCAGATATTTTAAAGAAACAATATATTTCTCTAAAATTAATTCATGAACCTTCAAAAACAAATTTAAGTTTAGCAATCGATTATTATCCACGACGAAAATTACATATTTTATTAAAGCCTAGTAGCTTTTCAAATGAAAAAACCGTAGTGCATTTGTATGCAAATACAAGTCAATCTCAATTAAATTTACTTGTAGTACTTGCTAATCTAATCAATTTTAATTTAACGTTACCTAAATCCTATCCGGAAACTGGTTTATTACATTCGTCATTGTTTATTGACAATGAAGAATATTTTGATGGGCGTCTCGAAACAGCAACATTAAAATTACGTTCAAAGAAATATTCTTGTCATATTAAATTGAATCAACTTCTTTTGAAAAAGCAATCTTCCGAGCAAATTCTTGCATCGATTTCTACTCGATGGATTGAACGTAATTCTACTACGGCTCTTATTACACTTTTCAATGAAAAAAATGTCAAAAGAGTGAGATAAATAATTAAAGATGATCTTTCACATAATATCTTTTTGTTTTATTTAGAAATCAATTCCAGATTTGCAATCAGTTCAACAAAAAACTTGGCTTCAACGCTTTGAAAAATTTCTATTTGCTAATAATTTAACAGTTCAATTCGCAAAAGATTCTAAAAAATTTTTCAATCACCTTAAAACTGATTTTATTGGCGAACATGGACAATTTGGTGTACAGCTAATGAATTATCTCGATTTAGACGAAGATTTTAAAGTGCAATTAAAACGAATTAATCGCGCAGCAACCATTCTCGTTAAAGCCCTATTTCAAATAGGTTTTGAAAATGAAGGCTTTTTGCAAGAATATTTGAACAAGTAAGTTTATCATTATAGTAAATACAACATTTTGATGGTAGTCCTAAGAGAGTAACATGATATGATCTCTAGTATTAATCACAAGTTGAAAACTACAAATGTTGGGGCACAGTTTTTCCCCCCATCATTTTCATGGCTTTAAAAAGATTGTTGAAGGATGATTCCACTTTATTCGATTGTATTAGTCAACATTGTTTTCGTATCGTTTTATTTAGTCTTACCTGTTTAACAAACCATCGAAATTTACTACATCTTGATATGCCTCAATTGGCTACATCAGCGATTGATACTTTCGCATTTGAAACTGTTTATTATGTAAATAAAACATCGAGTGTGTTCAATCATTTAACTCATTATCCACGTTCAATGAACGCTATGATATCTTATTTAAGCAACGAAATTATTCTCAGTACATACCAATTTATCAATAATTTCTATTTAGAAACAAAGAAATTCTTTCTTTCAAAAGCTATAAAATATTCATATGAAATGGAACTTCTAATAAAAAATTTTCCACTTCTATCAGATTCAATAACATATTTTTCATCAAATGATATTCGTACGATTATGTATGTATTTAATCAAAAGTTGCGTCGATTATTATCCTTATGGATCGATTCACCAATTGAATATAAATTAATGAAAACAATGACCAATCAATTGATAGAATCTATTGATAAAATTCGTTTTTATATTGATGATAAACTTGATTTTTTACTTCCTCGATTGCAAATCTACACACCTCGATTACGATTTAATCATACTGATAATCAAACATTTCTATTAACTTGGTTGAAAAATTATAATTTAACAAGTATTATTGATGAAGGATGAAGCCTTTTGTTTTCAAGATAAAATGATCATTTTTATTGTTTCATAATAATACATTTATATATATTCAACAGTTGTAATAAAAAGAGTTTCAACTAAAATTTACTTGTCTTATTTCGTGAACCCTAACATGATAATAAGAACTCATACCTCAAATAAGTCAATTGGATCTGAACTGATATAGTTAATCTTTTCTATTAAAATAGGCCTGCGATTTGCTATTTTATTAAAGCGCATGACTGAACAACAAGTATAAGAATATCAAAAAGAATAATCCTAAGCATACACTTGTTCAAGCATACGTATATTTGTTATTTTGTTTAATATTTTTATCGATGGGCCTAATACAATTTTCATATCATAAAATGAGTCGTCTTTTGTTAATAATAATAATAAACCTTCTCCATCTATATCATTTTTTACAAAATCTTGTGCAATAAAATCATTTGTTATATGTCGAATAAATTTTCCAACTTGAGCAGTCGTCCATTCCTTCGGATGGACAAGGAGTACTTGTTGCTTCAAACGATATTGAAGAACTGTGTGAATCGTTTGACGAAAATCTTCCAATGATGATGATGGAATATGTTGATTTGTATGCATAACAGAAGAACAATCATTTCTATGTTATTACATTTGGTAGAGCGAATTCTGTATCTTCAATCAATGGACAACTTTGTACTCGTTTATTCATCAATTGAACATGTTCATATTGATGATCATTCGTATTTCGTGAGAAAGCAAGCTAATTATGTACTTCTTTTATGGTTGTATCATCTAAACATAGTCAAATAAATAGATTTTGTTTTATTTTTGAATATTTCAATAACTAACCGGATGTATCCAGTTGATGATGGAACGATTGCTAAAGGTATAATGATTTATTATCTGATGAAGTATATAAGAAAAAAAAAGTTATTTTTAGTTTTACTCGCTGTGTTAAAAACAAAGCTAACGAACGGAGTTGGTTGTTGTTGAGAAATATTGATTGACGTAGTATTAGACGCTAACAAAAAAATATCGAAAGATGAAAACAGTATTCTATATTTTTTCATTGAAAAGTACTTACATTTAAAAGAATTTTCATTTGTTTCATTGAATGAAAAAAGAATTGGTTGATTACCAATTGAAAAGCCAGGTAAACGTATCGCTTCAAGAATCCAATGAGCTTGATTTCGAAATACGACACGTTTATGTATGTGATGATCGGGTACTTCAACAAGCTGAAAGATTGAATAAATGAAAAATATCACTTACGTGCAATTGATTATCATTGACAACTAAATAAGTAGTTAATCGTTCTGCTTGATTGAAGCGAGATGAATTAGTATTTCGTTGATCTATAGATTATGTGTTTTTTCTTATGATTAAATCACTTACTGGTTGATACCAGCTTTGGCTCAGTTGATGCTAGGCAAATAAAAAGAGATATAATATGTTTTTTTAATGTTTATATTTTACTCATTTTGATTGTCCAATGAAGTAGTTTTTTATGCTTGTGACAATATATTTGATGGTTTCTTGATTAAACTGCTGTTCGATTTGTTGATTTTAATACTGCACTTTGGATGAATATTTTTAATAAGACTCTAAAATATATAAAACATGCAGAAAGTAAGTTTTTCAAAATCGAGAAAAACATTTCAATATTTTACGTGTTCAATAAAAAATAAGAAACGAGGTTTATTTAACAACTCTACTCTGTCATTTAAAAGAAGAAATATCATGTAATTAAGCTAGTGCAATAAAAATTTCTTTAGAAGTGATGGTCTCTTCCGAACGAGAAGTGAAATAGAATAAATTAATTCTCGATGGATATAGTTGGCATTTGAAACATCAATACTCGGCATTGAGAAATGATCGTTAAACAGAAGTGAATTTCGTGTAAAAAATGCAATTTATTCATTCAATCTGTTTCATTTGTTGAAAACGAAATCCATATAATCGATCTTTTCGTCGATTGAATAATTTAAAAAAATAGTCATTCATCTCGAATAAACAAAAGGCTATTCCTTCCTATAGATCCGATACGATCTTATAAGAGTCTCTCGATCTATCGGATTAGTCAAAGTTTAGTATTTCAACAAAATCTAATGAAAATTTAATAAAGTTCGATTGAACTCTAAAGAAATATTGGTAGGAATCGAATGGTGAAATGACAATGCAATCTCTATTGTTGAATATGCAACGCGGTGCTGTTTAGATCACTAGTTATTGACTGAGGCCTCAGTATATTTGTATTCAATATTGAATACGTATAATGTTAAAACGGATAAAAAGATACCAAAAATTTGAGTTCAAAGTTTAAGCTTACTCACTCGAACTTTTCTTTCTTTACGAATGACTATATGAGGGCACTCGCTTCCTAGATATATATATACCTATACAGATATCTTCATTCGCAAACGTGTATCTAATTGATTTAAAATGTCTTCTTGGTTAAAAACATTTCTTTTCTGAGTGGAAGAAAAGAAAACAATATCACCGATGCAGGACTAAAGAAAAGAAGAAAGAGACAAAAATGATTGTATTACGAAACAAAGAGAGGTGTCACATATCCGAAATATCGGGCATGCTGGAGATGCCAAGGGAGACGCTGACATACAAAACTAATACTAACACAATACAAATACTATGAGTATGTAAAATTATTTAAGTGTATTCTGCGTCTCACGCAGAGACGCCGCATCTTCGTGGAACTACTGAGGAAAAACATTTTCCTGATTTGAAGGCTATGACAAATATCCATCCTTGGGTCACAATCGAGTGTGGAAACCGTTCATCCAGCAATGCTGTCTAACTCACAGGGAAGGCGAACCCAGAAATTAGTTCATCATAGGACGCAGCGAACGGTGCTGGTGAGAGCTGAAACAATTATCGGCTTGCTAAATCGTAGTCATCCATGGATATAGCCACATAAAAGAAATGCTAAATTTACAGCGACTGACAGGTAAAAAGGTAAAAACAGGCGCACTACCAACCGTGTGGAAAATGCAAATCATTCGATATTGGCGCGTCGGTGCGGTAGACAAGCATGGAAACACGCGCAACTACTTAAACGCAAGTTAAATGCATGCACACCCACACCCTATATATAGTGTTTTGTCTATGTGACTCTATCCACGAAAGACTACGATTTAGTGTGCCTAACTGTGTTTCGACGCTCACCCTCTCGCTTCGCTCCATCATGTGATGAAATTCATTTCTAGTTCCTCCGTCGCGATGAGTTGTACAGCAATACTATATGCGCTGTTTCCACACTCGATTATGATGCGCGGACGGGAATTGATCATAGCTTTCAAATGAAGAGAGTGATTCTCCTCAGTAGTTGCCGGAAGATGTAGCGCCTGTGCGTGAGGCGCGGAATCTCGCTATGGAGACGCATCTCCAGGTAGAGTCTAGGCTAAAAATCAAAAAATATTTTTTCATCGGAAGATGCGGCAAATACAGATTGCTCCTGATGGATTCCTTATAGCTATGATATTTATATTTGCTGGGAATATTGCTGCTGTGTATCTCGCATCTCCCGTGGCATCTCTGGCATATCCGATTTGTCGGACATGTGACACTGCTGTATCTTCGTGAACAATATTCTGCAGCTAGCGTGACAATGTTGTAACGATACGAGATGTTTTATCGTGATATCGAACTGTTTTATTCCAATCATCCTTCTCCTTTTATAGCTACACTTTCTTTCTCCGGGGTGCGTCACTCAACCCAGAGAACGAGAAAGAACACGACAATGAGGAGAAAGTCGTTATTTACATTGATTAGGATAGAACGAGTGCTTGTATTGGCACAGTCACATTTTCAGCAGAAATGTACCACCCCAGATAAAGTCATACGTTTTAAGTAGAAATGGAAAAGAAAGAATATATATATATATATATATATATAAATGTCAGAGGTCCACAAAAAATTGAAGTTATCCTGGTCTAACTTTCCTTTATAAATATATGCGATATTTATCAGTTTGATCTCTTTAGATCACTTTAGTCCTTTTAGCCTGTTGAATCCCTTTTTAGATCTAAAGTGATCAAAACGGACTAAAAGAACTAAAGGGACTAAGGGGAGTAATAGGGCTAAAGGGATTAAAGGAATCTAAAGGAGAATGAGGGTTTATATTTGTAAAGAAAAGTTAGACCAGGATAACTTTAATTTCTTATGGACCCCTCTTACAGTTCGATAGTTTTATTTTTTTGAACCTGTTGGTATACAAGAATATCGATAAGAAATAAGAAAAATTTATTTTTTTGATCTTGCAATAAAATAAATATGAAATCAATTTCACACTTAAACATTGTTTTACTATTAGTAAATAGAATATATTACTCCCGTAAATTTTTTTGATCCCTCGCTTGTAGTATGATAAAATTTTAAAAAAAATTCTCTAAGCGAATTCTTATTCTCGTTTATATTTTATTTTAATTAATATCTCTCTTATAATGATTGAATTATATCTTTATTTTTATACAGAAACACAGAAAATCATCTTTGAAAACAAAGTTTAATTTCGCAAGATATAAAAAAGTACGCTGAAGCTATGTTTGGTTTTGGAAGATTATTTTTAAAAATTCATCAGTTAGTTTGAAAATATGTTCAAGATTCTTCTTCTAATGATAATTAACAATTTACTGATGTGGTTATAGTTAATTTAGTTAAATATTTCTGAAACAATTAGATGCTATTTCGATTTCAAGTTGATTGAAATAGCTATAATAGTAACGGTAGTTTTTGTTTGTTGCTGAATTATAAATCCTAACATATAGTTTTTCTACGAATTAGAATTCAGGAACTCTTAGCAAATCTAAGAAATCTCAAGCAGAAAAATGTCGTCCAGGTAAAAATTATTTTCTTTTCATTCTGTTTATGTAAGACGATCAAAGATATACATGCTTCCGTTCTAAGCATATATCGAGATATTCAATACCTATGACTAGAAATAAAGAAAAGACGTCTTTCAATATTGGTTTCTATCATTTCTATAAATAAATGCAAATTCTTTGGCTCCGTTTTAACTCGTTTTTCCTCTGCCATATTACTATCTATACCACTATTTCCATTCTGTCGAAGAAAACAAAATTCGGACTGAATAATATTTCTTCACAAGCCCTGGATAAAACAGCGCAACATGTAAGAAATAAAAAATACACACCATCCTGAACTTGAACCAAACGAAAGCTTTTCTAATAGCACTCGTGACCATAATATATGCATAACAAAGTCTGCAAATGAAAGAATTTTCTTATTCCATAAAACTCTATTACTTCAATGACAACTAATACTACAATCATGACAATCACCAACTGCATATTGTCCGCTTCAAGACACCCGTATCCTCCGCAATTATTCCGCACTTACCCACGATTTTTCTAAAGAACGCCTCCATTTTCACTTAAAAAAACCGCAATCTCAGCATAAGATTAGCTGTTAGATTCCACATATGACTATCAGAACAACTTTTCACCATGCAACACGATATATAGTACAGATTGTTCCTGATATACGGTGATGTGGCTTATTCATTTCACGTTCAAAATAAACCATTTCTCCTTAACTTTGTTAGGGGTAAAGTATTTCTGCTGGTTATTGAACCTTTTGGCGATTTTACGGGATGTTATCCACCTCTCTTAAAATGAGTGAAATTCATCGAAATTCTTAATACTATATCTTTTCATAGATTTTCTGCAATAATTCTGATTATTAATTTGGATCGAGTCGTTTGCATTCATTGAAAAATCAAAATAAATTGTTTCATATGTTATAATTCAACAATTAACTATTTTATCTCAAATGGAAGTGAGATTCATGCATAATTTTAAGTAACAGCAACATATGTAGGAAGTAGAATTACTTTTTTCGTTTGTTATTTTATTCACCACGTGACTACGTTTATTGCAAACAGTAGGACGAAAAATCAAACTAGCAATGCCAATTTATTTTCGTTCTTTTTCAAAAAAAAGAGACGCATGACATTCGAGTTTTCATACAGACGAAAATCAAACAGAAGTTCACTTGTTAATGAAGTATCAATAGCTACAAATCTAGATGTTGTTTGTTTTCTACAAAGTGTTGCTCTTTCTGATTTAAAGGTTCAGATTTTCTTAATAATCCATACTGTATATGAGTTTAAGTCCTTGCTTTTCTTTGCTAAAGAACATATATTCTGATCTTCACCAAGCTGTCGATGACTTGTAGGTATCTCCTAGTATCTTCGCATATTTAGAATTTCTTGCGTTGATACTAATTTCATATCTT